TTTGTGATACAAAAGAACTAAATATCAAACTAAAACAAAGTGTAAACATTCTAAAAGAGAAGGACTAACAGGACCAGCAGTTAGCATAATGGCTATGTCGCTGGACTCCCATGTAGTTGATTGTAGTTCGAGTCCTGGACTTAAACTCACACCAGGCACATGTGCATGCATGCCCAAGATTTCGAGAGGAAAAATGGAGGAGAAGGGACTGCGGCGTGGCGATCCCCCCTGGGGGCTGATTTCTTGCTTTCCATCTCTCTGTCTCTCTCTGTCTTTCTGGTGAGTGCACACGCCCTATAGCAAAAACCTCTCTGAAAAGAGAGAGAGAGAGAGAGAGAGAGGGAGAGAGGCTAGCAAATAGTGGTTAAATCCCTGAACATGACCCTCCATATGGGAGTCTGAACTCCAAGCTTGGCGGCTTGAAACATGCTGTGCGTGTGGGTGCATGAGCGTGCATGTGTGTCCAAAAACCTAAGAGGAGAATGGAGGAGAAGGGATTGCGATGTGGCCATCTCCCCTCAGGTGTGATTTCTCACTTTCCCTCTCTCTCTTTTTATCTCCAGAGAGTGCACGTGCCCTAAGGCAAAAACTTAAAAAAAAAAATCCCAAGAGTATTAAAGATAGTTCATCTGTTATCTTTACCTACTACATAATCTTTAATTTATATATTTTTAATTTTGCTAGTAGGCACTTGCACTCACCAGAGAGAGACAGAGAAAAAGTGAGAGAAAGTGAGAAAGCACCCTCATAGGGGATTGTCCGTGCCACAGTCCCTTCTCCTCCATTTCTCCTATCAGGATTTTGTGTAGCATGTATACATGCCTGGTGTGTTTTTCAAGCTGCTGTGTCCAGGACTCAAACAGTATAGTTGGCCATCTGAGATCCAGCCACCTTAGCTACAATGCTATAGGTTGGCCCAACCTTTAAGTTTTTCTATTAAAAATTTTTATTAGAAAAAGAATCTTGGGCTGGTTCTGTGGCCTCGTAGCTAAGGTAGCCAGATCCCACATGGTGGACTGCATGGTTCAAGTCTCAGTCATAGTGGCTTGAGAGACACACCAGACACATGTGCATGAATGTGCCAAATCATGAAAACAGGGCGAGGTGGAAGAAAACAGATTGTGGCTGTGACCATTTCCCATGGGGAGTGTTTTCTAATTTCTCCCTCTCTCTGGTGAGAGCACTCATTCACAGAAAAAGAATAGGAAAAAAAAAACTTTACTGAAATGAAAAAGCCATTAACCACAACAATCCTGAATTCAAAGACAATTTTTGTTAAACTACTTTATGCAGAGAAATATATCAATCACCTTATCACAGAGGTCACAAAACTTCAAGTATATAATAATTAATATCTAATAGTGAAATTCATTTTTGTCTTGTACCAACTTCTGATTCTCATCCATCCTTTTTAAAAAATGCCACAAAGGGGGCCAGCAGGTGACATGGCGGTTAAGGGCTCTGGACTCCAATATGGCCAAATGCAGTTCGAGTAACAGACCTGGCAGCTTGCTTTCTCACTTTTCCTTCCTCTCTCTCTGTCTCTCTCTGGTCCAATTAAAAAAAAATAATGATGATAATGAATAAAATTAAATAAATAAATAATTCTTTTTAAAACATGCCACAAAGAATATTTCAGAAAAAAAATAATAATGGGAACCAGCAGTTAGCATAATGGCTATGTCGCTGGACTCCCACGTAGTTGACTGCGGTTCGCGTCTTGGACCCGGTGGCTTAAAACTCATGCCGGGCGCGTGTGCGTGCGTGCCCAAGATCCCGAGAGGAGAATGGAGGAGAAGAGATTGTGGCATGACCATCCCCCCTGGGGGGTGATTTCTCGCTTTCTGTCTCTATATCTCTGTCTGTCTGTCTGGCGAGCGCACGTGCCCTATAGCAAAAAAAAAAAAAAAAAAAATTAGCATTTTAATAAATTTCATAATTATGTATTTCATTTATCTCAGCTAAAAACATGACATATAAAAACCATAAACTGAATATAAATCAAGAAAATGAAAGTTTATAAAGCTAATAGTTATAATAAAAATAGTTTTGGGGCCAGCAGGTGGAGTGATGGTTAAGGTGCGTGCAGGATTTGCACAAGGCTGCCCATGGTTTAAGTCCTGGACCTGGCAGCTTAAAAATCATGCTGGGCATGTGTACATGCATGCCCAAAATCCCAAGAGAAGAAGGGATTGTGGTGTGGCCAACCCCCACAGGGGGTGATTTCTCACTTTCGCTTTCTCTTTTCGTCTGTCTCTTTCCAGCAAGAGCTTGTGCCCCATGGTAAAAACCTAAAAAATATAACAAAATAAAGTTCTACACGTAAGTAAAGTAATAATATTCAGTGAGAATGTCATTATAAATTAAACATTATAAGACAATTTAATAAGAATTTAGAAAAAAATTGACATTTTAAATTTGGAGAAAGCAAATTACAATTACTAAAATTAATGCTTTCTTATCAGGCCGGGCACGTGTACATGCATGCCCAAAATCTCAAGAGGAAAAAGGAAGAGCAGGAACTGTAGTGTGGTCATCCCCTCTGACAGGTGATTTCTCACTTTATCCCTCTCTCGAGCTCTCTTTTGAGTGCATGTGCCCTATAGCAAAAACTTCTCAAATAAATAAATAAGAATGATTTGGGTCAGCAGGTAGTGTGGAGTGTGGAGGTTAGGGACTGGATCCCACATGGCTGACTACAAAGTTCAAGTCTCAGACCAGGTGGCTTAAAAATCACATTGGGTGCATCTGTGTGTGCCAAACTCCCAAGGGGAGACTGGAAAAAGGATTTTTATTTATTTATTTATTTTTTTATTTTTTTTTGAGAGGTTTTTGCTATAGGGGGCGTGTGCTCGCCAGACAGACAGAGAGAGACAGAGAGACAGAAAGCAGGAAATCAACCCCCAGGGGGGATGGCCACGCCACAATCCCTTCTCATTCTCCTCTCGGGATCTTGGGCACACACGCACACGTGCCTGGCGTGAGTTTAAGCCACCGGCTCTGGGAATCAAACTGCGGTCGACTACGTGGGAGTCCAGCGACATAGCCAATACGCTACTGGTCCCAAGGATTGTTTTTTAAACGAGCAACATTGGAATTTTCTCTCAACAGGATACTATTAACAGTGGCATAATATACTATAAGCCTCTATTTTTAGGGAAATTAAAAAATATGGTATTAGTATGGCATTTGAGATAAAAACCAGTTATTTGACAACATATTTTCAATTTAAAAGTCCAGGAATATTATTATTTATAAGTAAAATTAGTATCTAAGGAGATTTTAAAATATTCTTTTATATGTTAGGTAGAGTACCTTTTCTACTAGAGGCTTAAATTATGCCAAACTACCAACCCATGTAGAGAGAATAAAAAAAGAACTGATTAGAAAATACTAACATATTAATTAATAAATGTAAAATATTTTTAATTTAATATATATTATTATAGCAAAACTTAAATGAGTTGTTCAAATGACAGTGGAATTATCTTGGAAAGAACAGGAGTAAGTGGTGATAGATGTTTATTCTATAGGAGGACATTTAAACGTTCATTTTAGAGATTCCACAATTGAAAATATTTTTATGTATGTAAGTATCTGCCATTATAATAATCTGATGGAAGAAGTAACACAAGGAGCTCAATCTCATCAAATACTGATTACAAAACCATATCGTAATTTGGGGAGAAAGAAAGGATTTACTCTCCCAATATAGCCAAATTGTTTTAGTTCTTATTTTTATCTTTTTTTTTTTAAGAGAGATTTTTGCTATAGTCCTGTATGCTCACCAGAGAGACAGAGACAGAGAGACAGAAAGTGAGAAATCAATTCCCAGGGGGGATGGCCATCCTGCAATCCTTTCTCCTCCATTCTCCTCTTGGGATTTGGGCACACACACACATATGCCTGGCATGAGTTTTAAGCTATCAGGTCCAGGACTTGAATCAAAGTTGACTATGTGGGAGTCCAGCAATGAAAGCACCATCTTCTGGTTCTTATTTTTAATGGGCAAGAGGATTGCCATTAAAATTACCTACTCCTAATGAAAACTTAATTTGATCAGTTAGTGATCATTATTCCATGCCTATATTTTATAAGGCACTATGGTACATGTTGTAGGGGCAGAGATTAATCAAATATTGTCCTTGTCCTTAAGGAACTCATCATAATTTATCTAGTGGCAATAGATTTGTTTACCAACTGTAATACAAACACGAATAAAAGGCACTAAACAGTTGTAAGCAACTCACAGAAGATTGACAGGGACAGGGCAATCACCAGATTCCCAGTCCTTAGTACCTGGTACCTCTAAATCCAGAGTTTCTCCTCCTCCTCAGTTTCTCAAGCCTAACTGCATGGGGCAGAAGTAAAATTGGATAGTTCCTTAAGACTTTCAAAAAAACTACTTATTTTAGCCCTGTATCTTCCCCTTCTCCATTCTAAACTTCAGTGGTTTCTTGCACAGCCAATTCCCAAGCATTTCTGGGGTTCTTCAGCTTTCCGATAACATCTAGGTGGCACAACTCCGCAGGCACTTAAGCTTCTTTTTGTTCTGCCAAGTCATTTACCATTTCTCTAGTCATTACATTTCTCTATTCATTTCCTGTCTTGATAGCTTATGGGCTGGGGTTCAGATGTCTCTGAACTTCATTAAACATGAGCAAGTTTCTAGTTGTTCTTGCTTAGATGATTTTTGAAAAGAGAGTAGAGTGGTAATGACTTAATTATTTTATCTTACAACCCTCATTACTTGATTACTATAATTTCATAAACAAATTGATACTAATAAAAATATTAACAATAGTGCAGAAAATGTAAATCCAAAATAAAAAATAAATTTTTGACAGAGGAATTTTGAGCAATGTGACCATTAGGATAGAAGATGTTTTGTGGGTGAGGAAAGCAAAAATTTTCAAGTATTCCCCAACATATCTGAAGTAGGCCACTGCTCACTCTGACGGAAATAAAGTACAAATTAGTAAATAACAAATAATTCAAACCTTCACAAATATGGTGAACTCTTCCACTTTCTCATTGGCTAACAGTAATTTCTTTTGTGTAACTTCAAGGACCTGCTCACTTTGCAAAGCTAATCCTTGAAGCTGCTTAGATGCTGCTGTTTCAATTTCTGCCATCGCAGACTCAGTTTCATTTATTTTCGATACTAGGAGTGTAAGCTTGAGATCCTGCAAAAGATCAGTAATTGTAAAATAAATATTTCATAAACATACCCAGAAAAGTTAGTAATACATGTCAAGGGAGGAGAGACTTACTCTCTTTATGAATATATTTATTTTCATTTGGTTAAAATTAATGATTGTTTTAATTTATCTTCAAGAAAATATCCTACACACATATTCTTGCATGTTTATCATCAAAATTAGTTTATCCTGGGTCAGCAGGTGGTGGGGAGGTTAAGGTGCTAGATCCCACATGGCTGACTCATAGTTTGAGTCCCAAACCCAGTGGCCTGAAAAACACAAAGGATGTGTATGTATGAGTGTGTCCAAAATCCTGAGAGAATGGAGGAGAAAGGATTGTAGAGTGGCCAACCTTGAGGGGGTGATCTCTTATTTTTCCTATCTCTCTGTCTCTTTTCAGCAAGCACACACCTCCTATAGCAAAAAGTCTAAGAAAAATTAGTTTACCCTTTTTAAAGATTATGAGTCATTATGGACATGGATGTTATTTTAGAAAAAGATCCCCATTTATTAAATGGAAATATGACTTTATGAGTTTAGGTAGACCTACAAAATTTTATTTCTACTTATATAAATGCCCCCCTTTATTTATTTATGTTTTCTATGAGAAAGAAAGATGGGGTAGGGTAGAGACAGTCACCTCCAAAGGGGTCTTCACGCAGTGATCCACCATAACCCTCAGCCAGCCATGATCATGGGCAAGAGTATATGTGAGTGGTGGGTACAGGGAAAGCTCAGGACATGAACCTGACCTTCCCATGTGGCCTCTGCATTGTAAAGCACCTTGTATTTATGAGAAGTCATTAACACAAACAAAATCTGTTCTCATTTTTTGTAAAAAAGAATTATTTATTTATTTATTATCATTAGTTTTCAGTTTGTACAGAGAGAGAGACAGAGAGAGAAAGTGGGAAAGCAAACAGCCAAATCCAGCTATAACCGTGGCTGGCTATGTGGGAGTCCAGTGCCTTTAACCACCACACCACTTGCCAGCCCCCAAAATCTGTTCTCTTAATATAGTACTAACTTAATGTTAAAAAAATTGTTAGCATTTCAAATAGAGATACAAATGTTCTTTGCAGTTACCCGAAACATTTAAGTAGCTCAAAGTTTGGGGTGGAAAAAACATTATAATAAAAAACACATCATTATAGTTCATTTCAAGGCTAACATGTCTTAAAAGCATACCTTTTTTTCTAACTCCTCTTTAGTTTTCTGATACATCTGTTCATACTGTGACTTCTCCTTTACAGCAACATTAAGTCTCTGCTTTAGTGAATCAATTGTTACCTTCTTGTTGGAACATTCTTCAGTTAATGTCTTTACCTACGTTAAAAGCATAAAAGTAATTATGACTGGTAAAGTTATCCTAGTAGCATACCGTATTTTTAAACATAAACTAAATGAATAAATGACTGAGTTTAATTCTATTTATTTACTCATATTTGTATCAAATTCAAGTACTACATTTACAGAATTCTTTATGAAAGAAATGAATAATCCTTGGGACCAGAAGTTGGTGTAATGGCTATGTCCCTAGACTCCCATGTAGCTGACTGTGGTTTGAGTCCCGGATCTAGTGGCTTAAACTCACGCCAGGCGCATGTAAGCATGTGCCCAAGATCCCGAGAGGAGAACGGAGGAGAAGAGATTGCAGCATGGCCATCCCTACGGGGGGCAATTTCTACCTTTCTGTCTCTCCGTCTCTCTGTCTTCCTGGCCAGCACACACACCCTATAGCAAAAACCTCTCAAAAAAAAAAAAAAAAAAAAGAAAAAGGAAAAAGAAATGAATAATCCTTAATAACAAAAGCCAAAACTGTATAAAAAGTTTATGAAGTTTATGAATATTGGTCTTTCATCGGACAATATCATGTTAACTATCTTTTCATTATTAACCTAAACTTTAGACCCTGAAACGTACCAAGTCATGGATTACTTTTAGTTGTTTGCTCAAAAGTAGGTATAACATACATTTTTTAGGATGAAACTCAAGAAGTAATAGAACATACTTATTGTACATTTTAAAAAATAACAGAAGAAAACTTTTCTTTTTCAGTTTAATGCCACTGAAGATATGAGTTAACTTATACAAAAAGTCTACGGCTACATTTGAAATGACTATTAAAGTTAAAAATAGCAAAATTTAAAGGATGATACAAAAAAAGGAAGTACTTATCATTTATTTGGGTGGGTGGGAGAGAAAGAGAAACAAAATCATATCCATTTGTTGTGCTCTTGTGAAGTTTTCTTGCTTAAATCCATTGGCACTAACAGATACTTACATTTTCATCTTCAACAAGGAAAGCAAAGGAGATGCTCTCTCAGGAGAGGATAACATTTAGTGAATGCCAAACCACAAGCTGCTTTATGAGTTGTGCAAATAGCACCTCTTCTTTTTAAACATAAACTTTCTGGTTTGGGCTCATACATCATGCAACTATTTTTAAATACAACATCTTTCCTATGTATAACTCCCCTCCCATATACAAAAAAAAAGGTATACATTTTAAAGAACTTCTGATAGTTGGTTATCATTTTTCTACTTAAAAACTTTAATGATCAATCTCAAATAACTTTTAAGCTTTATTCAATCATTATAAACTATTGTTTTAAATTAAATACTGAATAAAATGTAATTATGTATTCCAGAAATACTAAAAATTAAACTTAGTGGGCTAGCCCTATGGCCTAGTGGTTAAGGAAGCCAGATCCCACTGACTGACTGTGCAGTTTGAATCCTGGCCCTAGTGGCTTGAAAAACACACAAGAAGTATCTGTGTTTATAACCAAAAGCCCAATAGGATGGAGAAATGGAGACTAGATAGCAGCATGACCATGTCCCATTGGGGGGTGTTTTCTTTCTCCTCCCTTCTCTGTCTTTCTGTCTTTCTATGGAAGCACATGAACTCTCTGACAAATTTAAAAAATTAAAACTAAATTTGATTGTCTCCTTATGAGATAGTTACTAATAGAAACAGAACATGTGGCTATATGTGTGTGTGTGTGTGTGTGTGTGTGTGTGTGTGTGTGTGTGTATTTAAGATTCTGGGGTACTGATTTTAAAACAAATACTGTACTGGGAACCAGCAGTTAGCGTAATGGCTATGTCACTGGCCTCCCACGTAGTTGACCGCAGTTCGCGTCCTGGACCCGGTGGCTTAAAACTCACGCTGGGCGCGTGTGCGTGCGTGCCCAAGATCCCGACAGGAGAATGGAGGAGAAGGGATTGCAGCGTGACCATCCCCCCTGGGGGGTGATTTCTCGCTTTCTGTCTCTATGTCTCTCTCTGTCTGTCTGGCGAGCGCACGCGCCCTATAGCAAAAACCTCTCAAAACAAAACAAAACAAATACTGTACTTTCAGAGCAAATAGTATAAATTTATAACAATAAACATATATCCTACAAATATTTTCTATAAATTAGTACTGATTTTTTAAGAAAATAAATACAATGAAAAAAGATGTTTTTAGTGTCAGTGAATGTAAAAATCAGTACCTTTTTCTCAAGATTTTCCAACATTTCATTAAAACTCTCATTACTTTCCAAATTTACTTTCTGTCGAAATTTCAAGTCCTCTATCAAATGTCTTTTCATAGTTAAATCCCTCTCCATTCGAGACATCCTTGAAAGGAAAAAAGGTATTTTATCAAGAGTACTGAAAAAACTTTAATTGTGGTGATATCTTATATATTATCCAACATTATACCTACCATTAGTTTTTAAATGTTATATTCAAATTATTGAGACTGGAAATCGGTAAAGTAACTTGCACTGAATGAAATATTGCTCTATTAATATTTTGAGTGCCGGGGACCAGCAGATGGTGTAATGGCTGTGTTGCTGAACTCCCGTGTAGTCAACCACAGTTTGAGTCCCGAATCCAGTGGCTTAAACTCACACCAGGCACGTGTGTGTGTGCCCAAGATCCTGACAGGAGAATGGAGAAGAAGGGATTGTGGTGTGGCCATCCCCCCTGGGGGGTGATTTCTCGCTTTCTGTCTCTCTGTGTCTCTCTGTCTTTCTGGCGAGTGCACACGCCCTATAACAAAAACCTCTAAAAAAAAAAAATTGAGTGTCTATAAAATCTATAATCTATTTGTAATTTGGTTATTACAGTATTACAGATATGCATTAAAACAAACAAAGAAAATAATTAAAAGAGATTCATTAAATTTAGGAAACCTTAGAATTATTACATTCAAAGTATTATATCAGGCCATCAGAAAAGTTGTGACATATTTTTCTATGCAAAGATATATTGTAACTTTTCTAGCGATCTAATATTTAAATTACACTACTAATAAAAATCCAAGTGATATTTAGATATAATCAAAATCATAGCAATGATATGAAACAATCATACACTTTAATCAACAAATGTAAAAATCTAATATTAAAAAACTAAAATTAGGCATTATATCTTCTAATTTAAAATCATTAGAGACTGAATTCACGTATTAGCTTAGTTTAAGTGGATGAAATCCTAAGTATAAAATGGCAGATGCAGGGACAACTACTACTGTGGCTTCTGCTTTTGCTGCTCAATTTGACAAGAATGAAAAGAGATATGTTTATTGACTGCTTACTATGTTCCAGTTGTTGCTATAAGTGTTTTACATGCACCAACTACCTTATTCCTCACAACAACCTTATAAAATAATATATTAAACTGAGGCATAAAGCTAGTATTTAGGGGAGTCACGATTCAGAGTGTTTCTTTGGAGTCTTCACTGTTACACAATAAACAAGACAGCTTCCTAATCTACAAATAACTTCATTAGTCTCAGTTAAAAAGATCAACCAATATTTTTGTCTGATAATATTTGTATCTATTAATATCACTTTTAAGCGATCTTCACTTTTAAGGTGACTGGAATTCTATCTGAACATTTTATCACATCTAAGCTCTAGTACAGCTATAAAAAAATAGAAAATCATTTAATTATATGAGATAGAGCATTTACAATCCCTTGTTTTCATGTATTTGTGTGCCTGTGTTTTTCAGACAGGGTCTCACCATATCAGGACCCTCCTGAGTAGCTAGAAACACAGGTATAAGCCCATGACCAGCTCTTTAGGGTGGGCCAGGAAACAAACCCAGTCTCCCATGTAGCCTCAGCCTACCAAGTAGCAGCATTTGGCATGCACTACTGTGGCTAGGTCAAATCCCTTTTTATTAATAAACACAAAAACTACAAACCTTCATAACTACTATTTTAAACACAAACAAAAACTTTTTTTTTGTCCACCTTTGCTCTATCTATAAGATAAAACATTAAACCCAAGAAAAGTATTAATCTATATATATCTTGTGAGGGCAAATAACTGCTACATTTTAAAGTTTCTTGCTCATTTTCTTGAGGCCATTAATTTTCATTTATTCCACACTAAATATGCTTAAAACATGAGCTATAACTAAATATTTAGAACCTAATTTTAAAGTAGTAACTAGCTTTCCATTAATCATGTTATACATAATATTCTTTAAACCATCACCTTATGTAGGATTAAACATGAACTAAGGAAGGAAAATGTCATTGGTAAGGATGTGTTAGTACTGTTTATTTCGGGCCCAATGGCTAACAGAGTTGATTGCCACTAGGTGGCACCAAATACAATGGATAGAAATATGAAGACCATACTTTTCATGCATTTCTTTTATGTGTTCTTCTTTTGCCAGAAGTTCAAATTTCAGGGATTTCACATTTGATGATTGTTTGGTGAGTTCATTGGTTGCATTCTAGATTAAAAGCAGACAAATTTAAATATATCTTTCAATCTTGGTATAAAGTAGCATAAAAATAAGTATCATTTCCATCAAGAGTAACAAATTTACACTAATGATGAACAATAAAATGAACACTTTAATAATTTTTACAAAATGCTTTATTTTATATGTTCTAATTAAAATACTAATACTGAAATTTTTATATAACATGCCAAGCCATAGAGAAACACAGTCATATAATTCAAAAAAGAGATTCAAAATACATCTATGGAAAATATGAATTGTCTTAGTAAAATGCAAATGTATGAATAATTAACAACTTTAATAGTTCAATAAGATTATGTAAAACTTATGCTAGAGGGGCCAGCAGGTGGCATGGAGGTTGGGACGCAATCACACAAGCACACACACTTGGCGTGAGTTTCAAGCTGCCAGGTCCGGGACTCAAACTGTGGTCAACCACATCAGAGTCCAACACCTTAACCACTATGTCATCTGCTGGCTCCATTGGGGGTGATTTCTTACTTTCCCTCTCTCTGTCAAGTACATGTGCCCTATGGCAAAAACCTTAAAAAAATAAAAAAAGTAATTATTATATTTTGCTAATCTTTCTACAATAAATTTCTACTGGAACTATTCCTAGGTTTGGATGTTTGACTTGTGCTAAAAACAATTTGACTTTGAAAAGATGTAATTATCAATCACAAGGGAAATGTGAGTCAAGTTAATCAGACACACTTAAACGTCTAATTCACATAGTATATTTAAGTAAAAATGTCAAAGATTTTAATTTTTACATGTGATAATTAATTTTTTAAAATACTCAAAGTTACCTCCACATAGCAACTGTTTTGAGTGTTTTAAGTATGATCAGAACTACGTAATGCAATCTAAATTTCCACAATATTTTGCATGTTTACAATGAATGATGCATATAGTGCATTATTTCCAGCAATGCCAGAATAAAATACTACAAAATTATGAAATTACTAAATAATTGAAACTTCTGTTTTAATCATAATCTTTTTCTTTTTTTTTTAGAGAGAGATTTCTTTCTATAGGGGCTCAAACTGTGGTCATTTTTTGCTATGGTGCACATGCCCTCACTGGAGAGATAAAGACAGAAAACAAGAAATCATGTCCCAGGGGGATTGGCCATGCTTCAATCCCTTCTCCTCTTGGGATTTTGGGCACGCAAGCACATGCATCTGGAGTGAGTTTTAAGTTGCTGGGTATGGGACTTGAATCATGGCTATTTGGGAGTCCAGCGACATAACTATTACACCATCTGCTGGTCCCTTTAATCATAATCTTAAATTCTTTCTTGAATGACCATTTGTCCAGTTAAAAATATGAATCATGATTATACTAATAGTGTTATCTTAATGTAGTGATATCTCATTATAAATATTTCACTACATTAATTATATGAGGGGTCTTTAGAAGGTTTATGGAAAAGGCATATTATGAAAAAATTATGCATGGATTTCAAAATTTTTAACCAAAACAAATTTAGACTCCAATTCTATTTTTCACAAACTTTCTCATTCCCCTCATGTATTATCTCATCACTATATTGTGATATAGTGGTGCTTTCAGGGACTAAGTGTTATAACGTCACACTCTACATGGACTCAAAACTGTTGTGTTTCTCTAACTTTATATTTACCTTAACATTTTCATATTTCCTTTTTCTCTTTCTCAATCTGTTGATTGTAACTCTGTGCTTCTGTCAGTATTTCTGCCTAAAAACTGATTATTCTGTCCTTTAATATGCATACTTCTAATCTGCCTTTTTATTTTTTTGGAGAGGTTTTAGCTATAGGGCACGTGCGCTCACCAGAAAGACAGAGACAGAGAGACAGAAAGTGAGAAATCATCCTCCGGGGGGATGGCCACGCCGCAATCCCTTCTCCTCCATTTTCTTCTCAGGAACCTGGACACACATGCACACATGCCTGGCATGAGTTTAAGCCACCGGGTCTGGGACTCAAACTGTGGTCGACTACGTGGGAGTCCAGCGACATAGCCACTACACTATCTGCTGGTCCCCTAATCTGCTTTTAAAAAGTTTTTCTTTTTCCTTCGTTTTTGTTTTGTTTTGTTTTGTTTTGTAGAGAAGTAAAATAAATAAACTTAGAGTTGTATTTAAAATAAAAGACAACAGGTAGTAAATAAAGCCAGACGGTATCTTCAATGGAATAAATTAAGTGGACTTTAAGGTAGTTTTTGATTCATTTCTGTATCAGGCTATACTTTCTATTAAGGCTGTACTTGACATGACTGAAAATGAGATAACTGACTTCTTGATAATTCAAGGGCTACTGAATTATAGTAAATAAAACAGTGCCAATTTGATACATACTTGTACCAAAATCTCTAAATTTGACAGCTATTTTATTTGATCCTCAAAAATCCTTTGAGATGGGTAAAAAGGTATCCCAGACCACTGAATAAGTTAAGTGATTTTCTTGATCAGGTCCCACAAGATGTTCATGAACAAAAAGTGATCAAAACCCAGGTCTTTCTCTCTTCTCCATTCCCTATTACATAACATTCACCTGAAGCATGACTTAAAACCTGGTGTAAAACGCATACATCAAAAAAAACAGAATGGTAAAAATCCATCCTGTTCAGAGTTTTCCTATACTAAGTTTATTGAATATTTTGTTTTAAGTTGCATAATGTAATGATTAAGAATATGGAATCTGGAGCCAGATGGTTTGAGTTTCAATCTCTAATCTACCATTTAGTAGTTGTGAAACCTTGGACAAGTAATTTAATCTTTTTGTGTCTCGGCTTTTTCAACTCTAAAATAGGAGTCATAACAGAGTCTATCTTATAAAGTTGAAATGAAAATTAAATGAGTTAATATTTATAATATCACGTAGTGATAAACATGAAACATCAGCTTAAAAGCTCCAATGCTTCATGATTATCTATTTACTGGGAAACTGGAAGAAAACAAGTTATGCATCAAAAGGCAAACTCTTGAATAATCAAGAAGTAAAAAAAAGAAAATCTCACAAGTGGAAATTGATATATTTTTAACTCAGATTATGTAAAGAATTACAAATAAATGTAGAAAATTGATGTCTATATCATTCACTGAAAGAAATTTATATCTTTAAATATTTTATTATCTATATACAGATACCTTGAGGAAACATGTCTAATAAAGATAAAAATGAAGGTCCAGAAAATGCCTATCAGCACTCTAATGGTAATGAATAAACCAGGGACATCTGAAAAGTACACGTCAGAAATTCCTCAGAAAGGACCAGACAATGGTGTAGTGGTAACAATGCTCCATGAGACCGATCCACATGGGAATGTCCTGGGCTCAGATCTAGGGACCTCCGTGAATACACCAGGTCTGTATGTGCCCATGACCCACAGCTGGTTGAAGGTGGGTGTGAATTGTGATGTGAAAACCCTGTTGAGGGGGGGTGTCTGACTCTGTCTTTGACTCTGTCTCTCTCTCTCTCATGAAGAAACAAAAGAAAAAAGAAAGTACACCAGAAAGTTTAATATTAATTGAATAGAATAAAAAAGCATGTAGACCCTTAATAAATTCAAATATAACTAAAGTTGTCAATTAAACATAAAAACATCATTTAGAAAATAAGACATTTCTAAGAAAATGACCATATAGTAATGGTTTGATATCTGTTATAGGATAAATTGTGTCCTCAAAATGCACATATTAAAGTCCTCACCTAACCTATAGTAGGTCAGAATGTGAGTGTATTAAAAGAGGTAATTAAGGTAAAATGTGGTTATTGGGTTGGGGGAGCTAATTCAGTATGACTGGTGTCTTTATAAGGAAAGATAATTAGGACACAAAGACACATGGCAGAAAGACCATGTGAAGACACAGGAAGAAGATGGCTATCTACAAGCCAAAAGAGAGGCCTCAGAAAACACATCGATGACAAATTGATCTGACTTCCAGCCTTTAGAACTGTAAAAAAAAAAACAACAAAAAACAAAAACCTGTTTGCTTCTAATGCCACCCAGTTTGCTACAGTAGCCCTAGCAAACTAATATAATACTGAATTGAACATTTTGGTAGCAGAGTATTGGGTACCTACTTAATACATGTACCTGATCTTCGAGGAAATTTCTATATCAGAACATGCAATAGACAAAAGTAAAGATTTATCATTTTTGTGCCCAAATAGCCTGATCAGTATTCTAAGACTCCAGGTTAGATATGGACCCTGGCACTTCAAACTAAATTGCCCTAGGCAGTCTCGTCAGTCTCATTTTTCTGACTCACAAATTCCTTCAAAGCAAGCGAGATATTAATGTATAAGTTAAAATGTACACTAGGAAATATCATAATGCAAATAACTTCCAGATGTTTATATGAACCTACTATTACTAAAAAATTATATTAGCCCATTTGTATTATAGTAAATCAAAAAAGTCAAATGTAAATCAACTTAAAATGATTAACAATCTAAAAAATGTTAGAACTCAGACAATACCACATCTAGCATTTTATCTTACTTTAAATTAAAATTGTGTTAGCATCATAAAGACTTAAATAAAAGAATTACAGAACTATAAAGATAAGACTAAAGAAATCTCAGTGACTTTATCTTCCATATATGAATCTAAATGTTAGAATGTTCAATTTATCTATTTTATCCCACTTTTCCAAAGACAGATAATACATTTTTAAGAGATGATACATGACCCCAAACCTGCAAAACTAGCTTTTCATATTTATAATATCATATTAAGTATTAAAACTTACTAGATGTTGTAGTATCTGAAAAAAATGGTATTAAAAAAGTAGCTCCATCAATGTCATTTTGTATATCTATATTATTTCATTTAAAATTTTATCGTATTTTATCCTATTAGCAATCCTGTACTAAAAGATTATTATTATCAGTGGGAGAGTGTGCATATCATATTTTGGATTGAAAACAACTGTGACTCTGACAATTCTACTAGGTTGTCAGAAAAGTCATGACACATTTTTGCATAGGAAAATACATCATGGGACCAGCAGTTAGAGTAATGGCTATGTCGTTGGACTCCCATGTAGTCGACCACGGTTCGCATCCCGGACCCGGTGGCTTAAACTCACGCCAGGAGCATGTGCGTGCATGCCCAAGATCCCGAGAGGAGAACAGAGAAGAAGGGATTGCGGCGTGGCCATCCCCCGTGGGGGGTGATTTCTCGCTTTCTGTCTCTCTGTCTCTGTGTTCCTGGCGAGCGCACACGCCCAATAGCAAAAAAAAAAAAGAAAAAAAAAAGAAAAACCTCTCCAAAAAAAAAAAAAAAAAAAAGGTATCCTGAGGTATGCTGTAAGACATGAAAAAGAAATGAGAGATGTAAGAATCATCGCATAGAAAATCAAAATAGCCAACAGATAACATGATAAAATAAATTAGGACATTGGCCTGATTACTTCTATTATCCTTGGATTTGTTTTAAAAAAGGGGGGGGTAAAAAATTGGCTTCTCATTAAAAAAAAAAAAAGAAAAAAAAAAAGAAAAACCTCTCCAAAAAAAAAAAAGAAAATACATCATGACTTTTCCTATGACTCACTATATTCCAATACCCTCTTAACAGTCACAGTTATCCCATTTCTAATGTACTTGATACATTTACAATCAGAACATTATTCTTAGTGACTCTTACTCTAGCTGTAGTCTCATATATACTGCTCTTTTAGCTTCCAGCTAGCAATCTCCACTCAAGAAGATAATTAAACGTGTGAGGAATAAATGAACTTCTCTTATGCAGCATGAAAATTAACTTTCTAATTAAAAACTTAAAAGTTTTTAATTTCTTTAAATTCTTGTTTTATTTTATAAGATAATTGTTAAAACTAAGGTTGGCCTTACTTTTAGGTTGTTGACGGTTTCATCTGAACTTACATCCAATTCTTTACAAACAAAAGGAATACTGCTTTTTATTTTTACTCTGAGGTTTAACTGGCAGACATTAAAGCCAACCCATGTTTGCTTTCTGCTTTCTCTCCGTGAAAACCCCTCCTACTGGAGGGAGAGAAAGCAATTCTATTTACATTGATACATTACATGTTTGAGAGGGTTCTGTTAAAGGAGAAAGCATGGGGATCAGGAGGGAGTTGGTAGAGTATTTGAGTAGAAGACAAAGGCCATTTTCCATCAGCTCCTAAGTTAGAATTTCCTGGTGTCTTCAGATATTTTTCACAAATAGTGTTAGGAGTTACCTGATAAGTCTCTGCCAGGCTAAAGCTGACTGATGAAGTCGTACATATTAGTAACACTTTGTGGGTTATTTATACCATATTTACCTGTATTACCATAAATCAGAGCTGATACAAACATATCTTTGAAGATTCAGTAACTTAATGTATATTTTCATGCTTAGTAAACTTTATAATTAACCTTTAGTTTACACTGCAGTTGCTTCATCTCCAAATCCATGCTCTTTGAAGGACCAAGTGTTGTTACTTGTATCCGTGGAACTGTTACCCGGGAAACTTCCTCTGCTAAACTTGTAACTTCAGATGAGGACTCCAATTTCTTTAATAAATCTTCTTTTTCTTTCCGAAGCCCAGCCAAATCTAAATTTAGCTTCTTTTTTCCGAACAACAACAAAAAAACCACAAATAAATATATTATAAAAGCAACTATATTTAACCCAACATAGCATATTCTGTGGTAGAAAAGTGTTAAGGAAAAGAATTGAAATTAATTACGAAAGTAGTTATTATAAAAGCTATCACAAAAATTCTAACCCTTATCAGCATTTGGTTAAGGTTGTAGGGCTTGTAACGCTTAACAAAAATGAACCAGCTGTACTCAGTACCTTTTGGTTGGCTGGTCTTTACTCATTGTGCCCTATTTCTTTGCTTCATATATACAGAGTGAGCCAGAGATTCACATATTTGATAACCTTGACTTCAGGGCTGATGGACTTAACTGATAAAAGCCAAGCTGGAGCAGGACAGGGTAACAGATGTTAGTTGTGTATTCCACTGAGTAGGTCTTACCACCCTATATAGCAGCCAAAATGCTTCTCGCTTAGCAACATAAATGTTAAGTCCAATTAGCAGACGAGGCTTGTTAGAGATTTAGTTCAAATAAATAGCATGTAAATAAACTCCCTCAGTTTTAATCATTTGATTGATATTTGACAACTCATTTTTATAATGTTCAGGAAGAGTTCTAAACTCCTTACAGGTGAATTTTAATAACAAACATTTTGCTAAATGACATACTAGTAATGTTTTTATGAAAGGTAAAACAAACTGCCTTTATGTGAGCCCTTATCAATCGCCAATCTGTAGTCAGCAGAATGTCACCAGACTGTAGCAGCACAAGTCGGAACTCCTTAAGAGAGTAACAGCACTAGTATTTTATTATTCCAAGGAAGCTTATAATATGGTAGTTTAGCATAAGGAACAATTAGATTAAATGATGCTATAATTCCTCAGAGGGTAAAAAAATCTTTGTTAAGAATTCCAATTAGAAACAACAAAATACATAGATGAAATGGATAGTAATATAAACACAGGACATAGGTTAAGTGTTAACACTATATTTAAACATAGCTCCTATAAACTATACCAATAAGTACGAATTTATATATGCATGTATATATGCATGTATGTATTATTAAATACAAATATTTTGGATGATGGATTCTAAACCAGGGCTTGATATTTTTTAGATCAAACTGTGTTTCGGTGAAATAAAAAGTACATTTTGAGGGGCCAGCAGTTAGCATAATGGCTATGTTGCTGAACTCCCATGTAGCCAACCACGGTTCGAGTCCCGGACCTGGTGGCTTAAACTCATGCCAGGTGCGTGTGGGTGCGTGCCCAAGATCCCGAGAGGAGAATGGAGAAGGGATTGCAGCGTGGCCATCCCCGCTGGGGGATGATTTCTCACTTTCTATCTCTTTATCTCTCTCTGTCTTTCTGGCAAGCACCACGCCCTATAGCAAAAACCTCTCCAAAAAAAAAAATACATTTTGATGAAAAATTATTTTTAAAGGAATTGTTCTATTCAACTTTATTTGTGTGTTTATTTCAATTTGATGAGAGGGGAACAGCATGAGAGAGAGACAAAGAGAGAGAGAGAGAGAGAGCAAGCCACCAGGTCCGGGACTCATGTGGGAGTCCAGCACTCCTAACCACCATGCCTGCTGGCCCTGATGAAAAATTATTTCTCTGGCTATATTTTAGCTTATGACTTAAAAGTACGGTTCTATATATTTTCAGAAAATATTTATAAATTGTTCCAAAACTACCTAATAATGTTTAAAAGCAAATTCACAACTTCCTTAAATCTGAAAATCTTCCTAGTTATCATCGAAGTTTGAATCCATCTCCCTTCCTTATTATTTAATTCCCTGCATCTAATTGTCAAGTTCTATCATTATGTAATATTTCTCAGATTCATTCCCTTCTGCTATGTTCTTAACACGGATGCCCATTATCCCACTAACACTACCCTAACAGCCCTCCCTCTCTCCTCAACGTTTCCCAACCTTTATACCACTTTTCTTCTACAACGTCCTAAAATACCGATGGTCTGGATTCTCTATTCAAGACTTCAAGAGTTCTTCAAAATCCCAGTAAAATAAAATTCAGATGTTGGTGGATAATAAGGCTAAGGTTTAGCTTCAATTTATTTTTCAGTTAAGATGTCAACCCGAACTCAAACTTGCCTGCCATTCCCCAAAGCTGCCTGCCATTTCTATATTGATGATACTACACCTGGTGTTTCCTTCAACTAAAGAATCTCATTCTTTTTAAATAATTATTATTTTATTTAACTTTATTTATTTATTTTTAATTTGACCAGAGAGGGACAGAACAAGAGTGAGAGCAAGAGCGAGAGAGAGAGAGGGAAGATGAGAAAGGAAGCCACCAAGTCCAAGACTCACACTGCAATCAGCCATGTGGGAGTCCAGCGCCCTCAATGACCACGCCACCTGCGGGCCCCCTCATTCTTTTATTTTATTATTTTTTTAATTTCCCAGGGGTACATGCACTAGGTAGAGAAAAACAGGGAGAGGGGAAGTTGTAGGCACCCTCATGGGGAATGATGACACTACAATCTCTCCTTTCAAGATTTTGGACATGGACACGTGTACCTGGCATATTTCTCAACCACTGGGTCTGGGACACAAACTGCAGGGTTGTCAGCCATGTGGGACCTAACTGCCTTAACCACACCACAGACTAGCCCATTATCCCCCATTATCAAAGACGGCTTACTATGCCCTCCTTCGTGAAGGCTTCGTTTTTTTCTTTTCTTTTCTTCCCTCTTTCCTCAGAAAATTTCAAATCCTTGAGAGAAGACTGACTTTATTCACCTATGCATCCCCCCACCACCCATAGTATCTAAAAACATGCTTTTGTGTAATAAGAACAATGGCCCGGCCACAATGGCGTAAGTGGGAGGGCACCACTGTGCTGTGGCTGTGGTCACACGGGAGGCCTGAGTTTAGTTTGCGGCCTAAAATGAACAGGCTGGGCATGGTGGCACATGCCTGTGGTCCTAGTTAAGTGGGAGCCTTTGGCAGTAGGATCATGACATCATAAACCTCTGTCAAAAACACGTCTCTTTTCTCTGCCCCCTCCCTACTGTTCTCTCTCATAAAAAATAAAAATATCCAAAAAGGTGGTTTAAAATGTTCAAATCTCCTTATTTGTATTATAGGGTAGTATAATGACACATAAAAAGTGTAGCTTTTATTTAAGATCTATTAATTTATGAGTGCAAAAATCAAAATACCTTTTATTATTAATGTAGTATTAAGTAATTATGCTTTTACTTAAGTAGTATGCATGGGAGTCTTTCTCAAGCCTGAAGTCAATCTTCTGCATCTAAATTAGACATTTTGAGATTTCAGTCTGGCAAGACATAATTCATGGCTATAATTCTAGGTGGAATCTCAGGCAACACAGAAGACTAAAATTTGATAAGGCTTTTTTCTTCCTATGAGCCAGGGTGGCTTCTTTCATTTGCTACATTTATATGCCATGAGATTTCTGTCTGTTTCTTCCACACTGGCAGATCCTGGCACTATAAATGTGTCTCCACTGAGAAAAGACCAAACCAATAAATATATTTCTCTAAAAGACATAAATATATATATTTCAACTTCAATTTAACAATATAAAAAATTAAATGAAGAGTCACTCAAATTATGGAAACGAAACAAAATGACTTCTACTTTATTAAAACATAATGTTTTGATTAAACGATATTCAAAACCTAGTCTTTACATCTACATATTTCTATTATTAGTTATATATACACAGAAATGCTACAGAGCACCTGTTAAAAAATAGGAAATAAACAAATCATATATCCCATCAGTTTAGAATCCTTTGTTCATCCACTGGCATTTTGGAGAAATAACTGAGGCTCTGTTACTAATTTATGTCAGGTTAAGAATCCTCATTCTGGGGCCAGACTGTGGCATGGTGGCTAAGGTGCTGGACTCTCACACAGCTGACTGCATTTGAGTCCTGGACATGGAGCTTGAAAATCACGCTGGGCATATGTGCATGCACTCAAAATCCCAGGAGGAGAATGAAGGAGAAGGGACTGTGGCATGGCCACCCCCTTCCCCCGCCCCTGGGGGGGTGGTGATTTCTCAGTTCCCCTCTCTGTGTATCTCTCTGGTGGGTGCACACATCTTACAGCAAAAACTTAAAAAAAAAAAAAAAAACAAAAAAGAAAGGAACCTTATTTCTTGAAAGTTCTACCTCTATTTTTGTTAAAAGGTTTTTACCCTAGGATGTGTATGCTCGCTGGAGAAAGAGAGACCAAGACAGTGAGAGGGAAAGTGAGAAATCAGCCGCCAGGGATGACGGCCACATCACAATTCCTTCTCCTCCATTTTCCTCCTGGGATCTTGGGCACACACGCACACACACACGTACACGTGCCTGGCCTGATTTTTCAAGCCACTGGATCTGGGACTCAAACCTTAGTCAGTCATCTAGGAGTCCAGTGACATAACCACTATGCCATCTGCTGCTCCCTTCCCCTCTTTTTCTTTAGAGTACATGTGTTGGGGTCAAGAGTTGGTGTGGTGGTTAAGGTGCTAGACTCCCATGTGGCCTATTGAGATTTGAGTCCTGGACTGATCGGGTGGCTTGCTTTCTCACTATGAGTACATGGTGTATGAGAGAGAGAGAGACAGGATGAGCGAGCAAGCAGTGAGCCCTCCACGGGATGTAGTCATTGCTCAATCCCCTTCTTCCAGTCTTCCAGGTCACCAGGATCCTGAGCATATGTGTGTACATCCAGAATACTTTCAGTCTGGCCAGACAGGGGACTCAAATCAAGATTGGTGTATGGTTTCTAGCTCCACAGTCTGGTATTCTACCGACTGCGCCACAGGAATTGGGTCAAAAATTCCATTTCCTATTTGACAAATGCCATAAATTAGATAACAAGTATAGGTACCTTTTGTTGCTTATACTTGGTTTGGCCCATCAGAGTCCTTTTATGGATGACCTTGTTAGAAAGATTGTGGTTAAAAATCTACCAATAAATTAAGATTACTCATATAATTATTTTCCTTTTCTATCAGTAGCATAATTCCTATT